TACCTCTGCGGTCTGTAAAAGCAGGTAAACCGTGTGGCTGTGGCTATGTGCTACAGGGAAATTTAATTCATGCATAGGCATTTTCAGGGCAGTGCAGCTAGTGTTTCTGCTCAGCTGCAATAAGTAGTAGTGGCTGGGAAATGGATTTTGTGTGAATTGTACCAATCTCATCAGGGAAATGGATTTTGTGTGAATTGTACCAATCTCATCACAGCTACTGGTACTGCTTGTAGTCCTGCGACCTTAGGTGCCTTTCAGGTGTCTGCTTTCCTCATCTCTGAGATCATCAGCATGCAAAAGGACCTTGGATGGTACAGCAGCTGACATGATGGGTGAGCTAGGCTCTGACAGGAGCTTATGTCTTCCACGGTGCTTTTCCGAGGACAGGACCATGGTAGAAACCTTTTCCCAACTGCAGTCCAGCCCCTTTGATGGACCTTAACCCCAGCAGGCACAGTCCAACAACTGACGTACCTGATGTGACTGATGAGGTCAGATGCATAAGCCCCAACTGCAAGGAGGTGGAGTGTGAGAACCAGATTATAAAAGTCTTGACTAGGAAGGGGAGGGGAAAGGCCTGCTGTTTTTGCCAATCTCATTACATCCACAGGCCAACACAATATAAACTGATGATGCATTAGGTTCCACAGGTAACAGCAGGTAGAGAAGCTCCTGGACAAATCCTCTGTTACAGACAGGCTGTGGTGGACCCACTCTTAAAGTCTGGGCAGTTTCATGGTAAAAGGTAAAAAACTCTCGCAAACACAGTGGAATTCATGGAGGAGCTGGAAGGCAACGGCCCATTTGCGGTAGAGGTGGTTCAGCCCCACTTCTAGTTCATCATAATGGAGGTTTTTTTTCAGTTATAACATGGCTGGTAGAATGAGGTGAGGGTCTTCCTTAAGGCCTTGGTAGCTGGGACTCCCTGATCTCTGCTATGAATCCCTCCATGGCCACGAAACGTCAGCAAATGGTGTGTCTAAATCCATCAACAGACAGCGGTGTTACAACCTTGGGACCTTGTAGCAGGGAATGCTGGTTTCCGTGAGCCTTCGGTTAAATCCTGCTGTCTATCCTTGACTGCACTGGAGTTTCAGTGCTGTGAGCAGGGTGCTTCAAGTGCCATGTGTGGCAAGCTCGTGCACTAAAGAGAAACTCTGAGTGGATTTGAAAAGGAAAAGCTTCTTTGTATAAGGCTTAGTAACATGTCTGGTGAGGCTGGGTTGGATTGCCAGAAAGAGGATTGGAGCGCAGGTTCCAAGCTGCAAGAGGACACTTTGATTAATCAAATTTACTACTGTATTCATGGGTAGATGTTCTCAAGTATAGCCTAGGGGTATGGGAAATGGAGTCTTCTAACAGGTTTCCAATTGCATGATACTGTCATGAAAAATTACAGTGAAACTCTTCATAGACGAAGCTTTGCTGAACAGTTGGGTTATGTGCTTTGATATAGAAGGGAAAACTGTCCATTCTTTGGACTATTCACAAAATAGATTTAGGGTCAAACTCAGAGGTGATATAATCAGGAACTGCTGATCCGTGGGAAGGCTTTGAAGATATCAGCTTTGCACTTGGCCACCGTAGTGGTCAGGATTTTGAAGTTAAATAGAAGATCGGGAGTCAGAAGGCTGGAAGTCCTTTTCTTGTCTCTCCTTGGGCTGTATGTGACTGCCAACAAACAGACTGACTTTCTTCTGCATAGGCCCTGGGTCTCAATGTCAGACTTCTCCCCTTGCTTAGTGCAAGCGCTCAGGCAGGCTGAGATTCAGATTTTGCCCAAGCTTTGCAGGTCTCCAGATAGCTGGGGGCCAGGCATGACTTGGGAGCTTGGGCTCATTCAATGCCATCTGGGCAGGCACAGATAGTCCAGTTTATCAACAGCTCTTCTGATTCCAGCTTTTCCTCAAGTCAGCAAAGCTGCTTTGAGCTGGAGCAGCAGCCAGCTGTGTATACTTGCGTGCAGAATATGAGGCTTACACCTGCTTTCTTAAACCTAGATTGAATCTGATCTTGGGGATCTGGTCTTGGGGATAGATACAGATTTCCTCCTGTTTTGTTTTATTCACCTCTTGTATCAGCATGTTATTTGTCTGTCTTATGGGTGTTTTAAATCATCAGTCTGGAAGAAAAGAGCTTAATACCTGGTTTTATGACAAACTTTCTGCCTGACTTTTAAGACACTTAGTGTCATTTCATTCAATTTGCCACGTTATGTGGGGTACATCTTCCTTTTTAGCTGGTGCGCACAATGCAGGAAAGGTTCACGGTGGTTGAAGATCAGTGTCCTTCCAGGCATCTACTCCCTGTGCTGGGACAGGACATACCTAGACCAAAATGGGGTCTAAAAGGTCTTTGCTACTTCTGATCAGAGGATAGACAGCAAAGGAGAAACGAGGCCTGGCTGGATCTGAAAACCCTGGTTTTGTGCCCTTCCATATCCCTACACAAGCCATCAATCCCCTCCACTCTGGCACCCTCTTCCAGTCTCAAAAGGAAGACAATAATGTGCTAATTATGCAACCCAAATTACAGATGCTTCTTGAAGATTCATTCCTCTAGGGTAGTTCCTTTGGGTAGTTTCTCTGGGGCTAATGTTCTATAGGGAGAGGGAGATAAGGATGTCTTCTTGTCCAAGCTCATCCAAGAGCCATTCCAAGTCTGGAAGGGGTCTCCTAAAATCAAACCAGGTAATAACAGAGCCACTCTCCAGGGAGATTTCCTAGGTGCCGCTTTTATGTCTTTTCGTCCTTGTCAAGCTTAAATGTTGCACGTTGGTATGCTGTTTTCCATCTAATGCCTTTTGGAGAGGTCACTGGGGGATACAGGCTAAGTCTTCTAAGACCTGTGTAACGAAAAGGTGCTCTCTATAGGCAGTTTTCAGTGAGAGATTCTCAATTCTGGCACTTCCTTATTCCCTTTGCACGGGTAGCTTTCACTCTTTTGAGATAAACTGCAAGACTTCTTCTTTTCCTAGGTTTTTGTGATATTAAAGTATAGTCAGCTTTGAAAGCTAAAGAAATGCATTAACAAAGTCCATTCGAGCTGTGGAGGCTTGGGGGATTTTGAATTTTTTTTTCTTCATCATCTGTATCACATTTGTGCTGAGGAAACAAAATGATATATTTAGAAATCTCAGAAAGTGAGGGGTTTCCTTAGGCAGCAACATTGACAGAAGCTTATAAAACATCCTTATATCCTGTACGAGGCCTCCTCTGCTCAAAATAAAGCATTTCTTGAGCACCACCTTGTGCTATGTGGTGGTCATTGCAATTTAATCTTGAGAGGGATTTGCGTGCAGCATTTCTATTGCCCCTGCAGAGTCTCTAGTGTGTTGTTGGGAACATGAGGATAATTTAGTACTGGGGCAACAAAGTATGTGTCTCCCCTTGGAGACAGGAAAGAAAAGAAAGCCACCTAATAGCATTTTCCGAGCACTAGTGACCTCTGATTACTCATCCAGAAGGGAGATTTTGTTCCAGAAGTTTCTGGCAAAGAGCAAGATGGTAGCCAGGGGATTCTGGTTAATGGAGCTTTAAAATCTGTGTGTGATCCAGATTTGGAAAAACAGTTTTTTATCTAGGGTTAGAAGAGTCTGCTCTTGCTCTTGGAATGAATTTGGATTGGAAACTCAAGGTTTCCTGACATAGCCTATGCTTATTCATTGCTAGAATCACTTACCTTTGGAAATACCTCTGACATCTCCCACTGTATGCTTTTGAAATGTGCATTGATATAAAAAAGTCTCCTTTTTTGTATTAGGTTAGTTTTCCATTATACTTCTAAAAATCATCCCATATACTATAAGTGTGATAAACAAGTAGGAGCATTTATGGTGATGTAGGGAGTAGGAGACCACACAGGAAGCGTTTTTGGCTTTCTTCCCAACCACTCTTACAGGTGGAAGTTTCCGTAGCCCAACTTGCAAAATTTTATTGAGATTTTTGTTGGTGGCTTCATTTAACTGTCTGTAGTTATATAGACATCTTCACTTGTGTACTTATTTGGGTTAAGAGTGGAGTAGAGGATGGCTGAGTTGGTATTTTGGGGAAAGAAAAGTGAAAGAACTATCAGTAATGCAGACAAGCACAGACCTTTTATGTTTCTCTTCCAATATGTGAGGTGGCCTTATGGCCTGCCACGTTTAGGGGGATTTGTTTGCCTATCGGGAAACACCGGAGCAGATGGACGTGTGGAGGACATGCTCCTGAGGACAGGGCTCCTTTGATGATGGTTGTCACCTATGGGATGTGCTCCTCACTGGCAAAATGGAGCAGGAGCCTCTCCTTTCCTTTAACACAGGACACCAGGTTTATCAGGGCAATGGGTGAACCCAAAGCTACTTGTGACTCTTCTTTTGGAGTCACAGAGCAGCCAGAATGGAAGTATCCATTGCTTGGAGAGGATGGGGAGGAGATCAGCCCCATGGGCAGTAGCACAGGACACCAGAGCCATTACTTCCTCCTTGAATTTTCATCCTTACCCTTCTGGACATAACCTCCTGGGAAGAAAGAGCGTTTCTCCTTATGGGCAACCCTCTGCTCCTGCAAAGGCTTTCCAGATCACAATTAGGAACTAGAAAGTAATTGGAAGAGAAAATTCATCTGCACTGATGCCTTGGTGAGTCTACAAAGCCAGGTCTTCGTGATCAGTGGCCAGCGTGATCACCCTCCTTGTCTTTTCCCTCACCGAGCTCCCTTGTCACTTTGGGTGTCACCTCCTGACAAGTCAGCTGAATAACAGTGTGTTCCTTTCCCTCTGAAGTGGGTGGCTGTAATGAAGAGCTGAATAACTCAGCAGCCTCAAATGGAGGAGAATGATTCACAGCACAGTGCATGGATTTCAAAACCAATGTATCTGAAATTTTAATGGAGAGGGGGAAGGAGCCTTAAGGACTCCAGTTTTAAACCAGCAAGCCTTGCATAAAATATGATTGAAAGGGTTTAAAGGAATGGGGAGAGGAAAGAGAGAGCAACCGCAGTTAAACGAGCATGATTTTGAGCTTCCCAGTTAGTTGCCATTTGTGTATTCACTTTTGAAGCTGGAATATCATATAAACAACAGGCAGAGCCCCAGTCTGCATTTTATATTATTCACTCACAAACTTGCCCTGCTGCTAGACCACAAGCTAACTTTTCTGCCAGATGGAATCTGGTGGAAGCATGTGTAGTTTTTCTGGAAGGCTCCAGGCCAAATTCACTAATGATCCAAACACCTGTACAAATGCAAAAGCAATGCAGGATACCAGAAATGGATTTAGCATTTGTAAAATGAAGGAACGTGCCAAAGCATTCAAATAGAGTGGGTGAAAAATACAACAAGTGAGCACAGATCCCTGCACCTTAATGAGAGGAGTAACTACTGCATGTCCTAAAGAAGTGATCCCAATTATGTGAACATCCAAAGTATTCCTGAGACCAAATATGGTATTTTTGTTGCTGTGCCACTCCGACGGATTCTTTCAGCAACCTACCTTCAGTGACTTTGTTTTGGAACATGCAAGATCACCATTGCTCCCTGCTTCCTGGGTTGTGTGGTAATAAAAGTAACTCCCAAAGATAATTATGTGTCATTCAGTGCTTCTGAGTCACAAAAAAGAACTGTGTGAATATTCCCTTCCCTACAAGCCTTATGTGGATTTGCAAACTTTGCAAACTAATTAAACACCAAGTGTTGTGCTATCTATTTAATGCTGGTCAGCCTTGCCAAGGAGATGTGAAGAAGATAGGAATGAAGACCCCAAGAAAGGAATTTGGAAGTAATAAAGAAAAAGAAAAGAGAAGAAAAAGATAAGTGGAAAATAAAGAGATAGAAGGAAACTGCAGGAGTAAACAGTTGTTTGTAATACGTAGCTCCCAACAGAAGCAACTGCATGATTAAAGAAAGGGTTTTAGTAACACTGGAATTTGTGAATAAGGTTCAAGAGTAAGAGGTGAGATTCTTGGTGATTCTTGGTAAGAGGGTGGCGTTGTCTGCTTTAGATGTCTTGGTTTGGAAAGACTACCCAAATTCTTTTAATCTCTAAGAGAGTTGTTAATGTCTAATATTCTGTGATCAGTCTGTGCTGTCACCATCTCTGATTACACAACCTTCACTTTACACTGAACATTTTGTGTGGGAGTCTGTACAAACATAATACAACCTGCTTTATGGTAGAAGCAAAAGGGAAGATTTCCATTGTTTTTCTGCAGAATGCTGAAGTTTTGGCCTTTGTCTTTCTTATGGAGTAAACTCTCGACTTGTGAGCAGTTGGGCCATCGGCTGCAGCACCTCCAGATCATCAGCAGCAGAAAGAAGGCTCAAAACCAGACCCAACTAATGAGGTACGGAGTACACAGACAGACAATACACATCCCTACTGTAACCCCGTCTCCTTCTGGAGCCTTCATTATCTATGCAACTAATTTCAACTCTAGCTGCCAAAAAAATCACTTCCATGACTAGGGTGTCATCAGAGAGCTTATCCTACGTCTACCATCTCATTGTTTTTCCATGCTGCATGTCTAGGTTGCTCTTGCTTTGTGTTGAGATTATCCCCCTGGAGTGACTTGGGATGTTCTCTGCTGCCTCACTCTGTTCCTAACTCTAATCCTATGCTTGTTCTGCAGAACGCTGCTGCTCCTGCCCTGGCTTGGTTGTGGAGCTCTGGGCTCTGTTTTATGTTGCTAAGCTCCTTCCTTTGCACTCAGAAGCCTCAGGCACCTACCTGTCTCTTGTGTTATGACCAGAGGGAAGTAAGGTAGCTCCTTTTGGAGCTGGAGGTTCAGGAAACCCAAACCAAGGATGCTGTGCTCACTGCAAAGCTCCACAAGTGGCCTGGCTAGCATGACAACACAGCAGGGTCCTCAACTGCACCGTGCCGTGTAGACTTGCTCTCTCAACTGCCTGCTAGTTGGCTGATCTTTACCCTGCACACTGTTTTATATTGCAGATGTGCCTTTTGCTGGATACTGCCCTAGCCTGGGGAACAAGACTGGGATATTGCCCAGGATGCCCAGGGAAAGCTCGCCCTGTCCTGTGTGCATAGTGCTTTCCTACCACTACTCCCACGAGCTCAGTGCTTTCACAGATGTTGCCATTGCTAGCCACAGACTTGATGTTAGTGGCATGTTATATAAGAGCAGAAAGGTTTGCACACTCCTGCCTTTTGCCCACTCAGGGAATCTTCCTTCCAGTAACTGAAGACCAGAGGTTCAACAGTAGTAACAAAATCAGTGCAACAGAAAAAGGGAATGTGCAGGCAGTGAGTCTAAGAGGGAGAGGCAGAGATCAGAGGCAAATATTGAATACCCTGTGGCAATTACATAGTGAGTCTTGTTCTGTGTGTTCGTCTGATCCTGCAGTAATAGATTCCCCAGGAATATTTATAATAGATCAGTGCAGTTCACTAGCCCTTCTGGATATGTTCCTTTACCCAGAAACACTATTTATTACCCTGATTAGTGGTTCAACAAAAGTATACCTCTTGGAGAGCGAGCACGTCTCAATGCGAAGTTCATCTTGAGTGCTAATGCCCTTAGGATTGCTAAATCCCCACTGAGTATTTATACTTTATCTAACTAGCTCTTTGTAGCTTCAGTATCAGTGTTCACTCCCTCTGCTAAAATGGCACTTTATAGTAGCAGGATCCAGGTGGCCCAGTGTTTGGCCACAGAAGTAGCAATGAAAGTCAAAAGGTCTATGCAAAACTTCTCTTAAATAAGTTGTCCTTTTGCCCCTGTAAGTAAAAGACGTTATGGAAATGAAGCCAATAGTGTTATTGAAACATTAAACACTGTCCTTTTGCTTTAACGTTGTTTCTCTTTATCCTGCATGCAGGAAAGCCAACATCTTTGTCTCACTGCTGGTTGATGTGGCTCTGGGGATCCTGCTGATGTCCTGGCTGTACAGAAAGAACCGGATTGGTCAGCTTGCTGACACTCTTATTCCTGTGGCTGATGTGAGTCTCAACAGAGTCTTTCTTCTTTTGCCTGCCATGTGTGGTGACCAGCTGTTGACACGTAAGGTAGTTTCAAGGAGGCAGTGCCTTACGTCCAAGAATTTCAGAGTGCCCTATCTCAAGTCAGGCAAATTCCTCTCATTTGGAAGGAATTTGAGTATGGAATTCCAGCAACAATATATTTTCTCCTGCTCACCTTGTGTTTCTTGGGAAGAGCTGAGTTCCCCCATTGAGGATCTACTTGGTCCATGTCTAACATTTTCAGGGTCACAAGCCGTATGTCTCTAATCATTCTTGCACATGCTCTGCTTTCAGAAAGAGTTTACAGAGTAGCCAGCATAGAAGTGGATCATCATGATTACTATTTTTGTTATCTTTTCTAATGAAACTTAGAGGGGTAGCATGTTTCAAACATTCTCTTCAGCAACAGTGGTTACAAAAGAAAGGACCGCAATACTTGAAGTACATTTGATCTTGTAGTTTTTGAGCTATAAATTAAAAATCTGGTAAGTCTTATTTCTAAGTCTTTTTCCTTACAGATTATTTCAGATGGAAGAGTTTAAGTTCTCTAGAGTTCTCCCTCAAGGAATACTGGAAGGCTCTAGCACTCAGAAATCGGATTTCTTAACAAATCTGCAAGGAAGTGGCTTTTGGCCAAAGTCCTGTTTTCACAGGTGGCTCCAGGAAGCGTTCCATCTGTCCAGTGTCTTTGGCAGATGGCTGCTCTCTTTGCTCAAGGTGCATCTGATCACAGCCCCTGTCCTGGATCGGCTTGTCCATGAGAGTTGCTCATTCGTTCCTCTTTCAACTATTTAGCTCATCTGTCAATGCACTTGCACATCATAGTGGCATTTATTTCCACCAGATCTCCTAAATGGGCGTGTTTCAGCATCACCAAAAGCTGTTTACTTACTTTCCTGGAAGCATTAACCCCCACTGCTGGGGATGACCTGGTATTCAGCTTGCACCTGTTTCTTCTCTGTAACTTCTGCAAGCTTACTGCTTCAGGATACTTACAATTCCTCTTACTTTCCAGCCTCACTTTCTTCTTTTAACAGTATTAGTTTCTGGACAAAAAGTCATTTGGAGTCTTTTTACTACCGTCAGTGCTCAATGATTCTTGTGCATTTCAAGTCCTAAAAAATACAGAACGGAGAGATCCCAAAATATATCCGTGACTTGAGCTTGCACTGTGCAAGCCAGTATCTCTTTGTTTCCCGGTGTGACAGCAGCATCTCGTTTTAGCCATTCAACAGTAGGTTTCCACTTCGCTGCTGAGTCTCCATCTGGTACACATTATTCCCGTCACTTGAGCTTTCTCAAGTGCTTATGCTTTGCCAAGTTCAGGAAATTCAAACTTTCCCATGTGCAGGAGTGACACTTCCTTCCCTAGTGCTCCTTGCTCTTCTGTTTCCAATAAGTGCCCCAGGTCTGATGCTGACACTGACCTTCTTCTGCAGTACAACTGTAACATAATATAAATGAAACATTACAGATATAAAAACCTTACTGATTTGCTTGATTGATTTTTAGATTGACAAACCTTGGCCTATGTGCAGGTGTGGGGGCTGGATACAGTGCATACTTAATCTGTCTTCTTCTAGCAGTTCCAACCTAGCACTTCCAGAGGTCCTCTTGGGTACCCATCTCTGTGTGGTTTTGAGTTGGTTTTGCGTATTAATTGGAATCCAGCTGCCAAACTGTCACTTAGATTTCTTTTGCTGTGCCTCCCACTGCCAGCCAGGCATCTCTGGAGAGATGCAGGAGCAAGTAAGTTATTTCAACCCTTGACAACCTGCCAGGGTCACAAGCTCAGCCTGCTTACGTGAGGACCAAGCCATGTTCCCTGGCCGCCGTTCAGCATCCCCTGATATCATAGTCCTCACATCAGCACTTAGCCGGTGTTTTTTGACGATACACAGGACGTCACGGACTGCAGCTCCCACTTTCCCTGCTCGATGAGCTGTGCTAACTGCAACAGCAAATTTCTTTTGTCAGTATATGAAGCAGATGTGATTCAGAGACACCTGGGGAGTAGCTACATGCGATACCTAGGGCTTACTTTTGAGCAGGCTTTCAAAACAAAGCATGAAAAATGTGAATAATCTCTCTAGGTGCCCTCCCTCACAACTCCTACCCTCCTTCCTCCTGCTCCCTCCAGGCTTCCAACAACAGTGCTTGTTTTTGCTCTCCTTGAGACCAAACCAACCAAAGTGCTACATTTTTCTCTTTTGAAAAGAAGAACTGATTATAAACCATATTTTTTGCTTTTTTTAACCTCTTCCGTTCTGGCTGTGTTCTGTTCTCCTTAGCCTGTAATATCTTTGAAGCGATATCATAGCTCATGCCTCCCAAAATGTTCCTGGGACTTGGTGGCAATTGGATGCAAGATCCTATTCAGTCATGTTCTACTAATCTGTAAACCCAGTAGGGAGAACAATACCTTGAAAATATTCTTAGATGTCATTTGTGAAATAGTGAAACTTAGAGCCCCAAACACCTTCAACAGGCACAGGGTGATTGTGTATAGAAAGAAGGACTTTTCTTTTTTGAGTTTAACTAGAGCATGTGCATAAATATTCTGTTCCCTCATATGCAGCTCTATGCAGCTTAGCCCTATATCTTGCAATATGAAGCAACCTTTCTGTAAAAAAATACAGAAAAAAAAACAAGTGATAAGCAGAATAGAACAGGTAATTTAGAGTGGTAGACCTGTGTGTCTTTCACTATGGATGTTACCTCACCACTGCAGCCTCGGTGTTTGAGGTCGAGCAAGCAGACTATGACTATACAGAAAATATCCCCACAGTGATCTAATCTAAACCACATGAGTTTCAGTCTCTGGGTTGAAAACGTCCCTACAGCCCCTTAATGAAACAACTTCCATGTAATGCACTGTATTCTGTTCATTAATATTAGATATATTCAGTGTTCATGACTGCAATGAGGGTTTTGCCTCCTAGCCACTTTCTCTGATTCTGCTCTTAATCAGTATAATGGGAAAACAACCTGCAATGTTATGAGCTTGTTCTGAAAAGCTTTGAGCAGTTAAGTAACACTATGTTAAGGCATCTTCCCAAAGCTGCAATGCCCTATCAGATTTTAGCAGCACCTCTGGAGCTGGAAGTCTCAGAAACACTCAGTGCTGGAAACCAGCCTTGCTGAAAGACTACTTTCAAGCATTTAAATATTTTATTAAAATCTCAAAATGCTTTTTTAAAGTTACAACTCCAACATTTTAAATATTTAAAGCAGTCTATTTATAAAGTGGCTAACACTTCTTTCCTGGCAACAAGGGTAAGATCCATGAGTTCAAGCTAGTTCTTACTGGCACTAAACACTTTAAGGATTGTTGAGAGAAAGGGAAAGTGAATGAAAGAATAAAAGAGCCATGTTGTTAGTTGAGTTTTCGGGCAACCTGAAGATAGAGCATGTAATTTCACTACTACATTAAAAGTTCATGTTTACAAATTCATTTTACAATGACTGTTAACTAATATATAAAAGGGAATCATTCTTTGGAAATAATTTGCCTACAAAAAAATTATTTGTAAGAATGTGGGGGAAAGTAGGCTACAGTGCATCAGTTTCAGGTAGCACATCTTAAGTCTCCTGCACCCACACAGTTTTCATTGCATATGCACTCTCATGCATAGTTTTGGTTATGACTGAAGTTTTCAGAGATTGCAGCTGTTCACTCATGTTCTCAAGCTGCTAATGCAAGAAAGTTTCAAGAGGCCACTTCTCCCAGGTTGCCCACCCTTTTGCTGGTGACCACTACTCTCAGCTTCCTCAAAGAGTCTGGTGGATGGATTCTCCATTGATTTTTGCTTACAGGAGGAGGTCACGCTGCTAAGTGCTGAAGTTGACAAGCAGAGCTCCTCTTCTGCCCTGCCTACTTCAAGGCATCTGACACCTGATAGTAGGATGGGATGGGGAGTTAAAATCAGTAAAAAAATCAGCCCAGGATTAAATCACCAGCGATTGTGAGTCAAAACTCTCAGTGACTTGGGTAATGAACTCACCCAGACTTTGTCCCCCGTGATTCAGAGGGCTCCATTTTTACAGGGATGCAATAGGTATCTCTCCCAGAAGCCCACAGTAGAGACAAGGTAGTGGCCAAGACAGAGACAGGATGTAGCCAAGCAAGATCAGTACTCTACACCACAGTTAACCTTGCCCAATAGACCACAGGCTATAAACAAAGTTAGTCTATGCATGAAGTATGCTCATATAATTACATTTTCTACCCTGCTGTAAACATACAGGTTATTTGGTGTAAAAATTCACCATTCCTGTCCAGGGATGCACCACCCTCTTGCCGTTCCAGAATCCTGATGGTCTTCTCCATAGTGAGATGGCTCCTTGAGCTCTGACTGCTGAGCTGACTGTCTAATGACATTGGTTTGTGTACCTGCACTTGCCCGTCTCTTGCAAGAAGTCCTAATTGTCAAGAGGTTGTACTGTGCAAGTCGAGCAGAGAGGCCAGAAACCAACTCTAGGTTCCATGTTTCCAGCACTGAGAACATTTAAACAGATCAGCTTCTTCTTGTGCTGCTATACTTACATTTAGAAAAGAATCATTTGCCCATAAAGATGCATTTTTGATTTAGCTAGTTGTCTAAAAAATCACTCTTTTCTTGCATGCTTTTTTTCCCCATGATTTTTTAGGGTGCAGGAGATTACTTTGCTCAGTGGGGTTGGAGTTGACTACACTGGACCTATTCAACACAATACATCTTTAATCTCATTTCTTTGTTTGTAGCATGTAGCTAAAGAGCTCCAAGACCTGCTGCAGTGGCTAATGGGAGCACCAGCTGGACTAAAAATGAACCGAGCTTTGGATCAGGTTTTGGGTCGTTTCTTCCTTTACCACATCCATCTTTGGATTAGTAAGTGCAACAGTTTTACTTCTTTGCCTCCTCTTTCATCTCTTCCTTCCCAAGTATTTAATGTTTGCCTCGAGGTAAAAAACGAATCAAAGTGCACTCCTGCCAGTGCGTGCTTGTCTTTCTGCTGTGGGAACTCAAGCTAAACGTGGATTCCCACACAAGAAAGTTGTGCATATTAAAAAAGAAAAAAAGGTGCTTGTCTCGATGATTTGCAAATAATGCAAGTCACAGCAGAACTTACTTTTTGATGCCATTGGTAGTTACTGTCCAAAGAAAATTTTAGTTTCTATGTAGGCTTTTGTAGTCCTTGCCCTGTAAGAGGTAGTTGATAGGATAGGGGTGAGAAGTGTTATCTCAGGACATAAATGCAGGCCCACTCCTGGCATGTTGTTTCAGTGAAGGTTGCCTTGTGCATTTAAAATGCAATTATGAACCTGAACAGAAATCCAGAAAAATAAATCACATGTAGAGGATGGCGATTCCTCTGTTCAAACTCAGCATGTGCCCCCCTTTCTCGCACAGTGGTCACAGCTGGACGGAGACCTAGGAGGGAAGAGAAGTTCTTTGGACTCTCCTAAATAGAAAATGGCCATCTGAAGGAATTTCTGGTTTTATTTCCATGTTGTTTTAACGATATGCAGAAAAACGTCCTTTCTTCAGTCTCATTCTCTGTGATGTCCACTAGGCTACATTCACCTGATGTCTCCATTCATTGAGATGATCCTCTGGTACGTTGGTCTGTCCACTTGTCTGGGCCTTACTGTGGCTCTTTGCATCCTCTCTGACATCATTGCTCTTCTGACCTTCCACATCTACTGCTTCTACGTCTATGGAGCCAGGTGAGTTGATTTCTCTCCTTTGTATCTTAGATATGCTTGGAGAGAAGGGCTAACACTTGTGTGCAGGGCATGCCTTTAATTTGTGGAGCGGCTAACAGCTCTCTGGCAGATATTTACTGCTGCTGCTGTTAAAGCCTCTTACTAAACCAGAGGCACTTTCATCATACCTGCTTTTACCTAGTGCTTTGTATCTAGGGTAGCTGGGCCACAGTGGCTTGATTTTTCACCGAAGAACCACAAAACCTACACCTTCATATATCAAATCTGTGGGATGTTCATTCATCTTATTCCAGACCCAGATATCATATGGGTACATTCATTCCCTGTATAGCATTTCTTTTAACTTCACAGTTTAAGCTGAAAATGAAATTGTTACATTTTTCTAGGTAAGTAGAACTGATAGCCACAGCAGTACAAGCAATCTATCTTCCAATTCTCTTGCATTTAATATTTACTTACTGTGGTAACGATCTGGAAAACATAAAACTACCTAGGAGGTAGAGTGCAATAGAGCAGTTCATGCCTTGCCTTTGAGTCTCTCTTTTTAGCTGTGCCTTACCCAGCAGTTTTGAGGGAAATTGGAGGCATGGAGGAAGAAATGGGAACCCTTGAACTTCTGGAGAAGCCCAGGTCCTGACTGTGCTCTGCTCTAGAGCTTCTGTCTGTGCTCTGGAGCCCAGCTGGCAGGTTTAAGGTTGCAGCACAGCTGTGGCACCTTCCCCACATCATTGTCCAGACCTATTGAAGGGCCTCATGGCCTGGGAGCCAGGCAGAAACTCTGAGGGAGGAGTTTCCTCCTCTGGAAGAACCTCTCCTCAGGAGAACCTCTGTGTGAGGAGCTTTGGGGCACATTTGGGATTACTGTGCAAAGGGGGGCAACCTTCTGTGCCTGGTGTCCCCCAAGGAGATTCAGAAAGGGTTCCCAGTCACTCTCATCCACAAAAAAAACACAGCACCTTGTGTTTGTGCAGCTGGCAGGAGAACTTACTGGTTCAAGCGATGAAGTCTGAGATCCTCTTCTGAAACGAGGCACACAGTGCAATGAAAGCCAGCAAGGGTGCTAAATCAGACACCCAGGCTCAATCTTGGGTCCCAGGGCAGGGGACGCAGGCAGGGACAAGCTCAGTCTGAGCCACGAGGCAGCTGGGTAGCAGCATCCTGCAGCTGCTGTCCTGGGCACTCCCTTACCTAGAGATTAGTGCACCGAGCTCTGCCTGCCAGACCTTTGGGAGCACCCTCCCAATTCCGTGAAGTACTTAGTGTTCCTCAGACTAGATAAGACTCCTAGATTGTTAAGACTCCTTGCTTCTGCTTTCACTGTGCTGGCTTGAAGTTTGAGCAGCTGCTGCACTCTAACTGGGCTAATTTATCAGTCTCCTTTTAGAAGGCTCTCTTTTGCCTCTCTGATGACCTGTGTCCCTCTTTAATTACATCATTTATGTTGTAGACTGCTGCCTTGGGTTCTTTGTGCCTCTGCTCCATTCCAGTGGCTCCAGTGGCCATTCTGGAAGTGTCTTTATCTCACCTCTTATAACTCCAAGCTTCTCCCACCACTGCCATTTTTCCATGAGGGAAGTAGCTCCAAGTGTCGTAACATCAACTTGCTAAAGCCTGGTGATGAAAAGATGCCATAGGGGAGCTACCATCCATTTGGTTGATCTCTTCCCACTTTTGCAGAGGTTTGAAGCTGTGGTTTATTAAAACAGTTGCCAGGGATTCCTGTCCTTTCATTTTTATTCCTTTTCCTTTCTGTGCTATGTAGGCAAAATTGAATTGTATTGATGCCAATGAAAGGGGCAAAGCTTTGGCTGCCACTGCAATGGAAAGGGTGTGAAGTGAGCTGGGTAGGGAGTATAAACTGGAGAGAGGAAGGTGAGCTCTGGGGAGTAAACGTCTGCTACGGTCGAGCTGGTGGCAGGAGATTGGTGATTGCTCCTGCTCATAGGCTCCTTCCTCCAGCAGAACTTGCTGTTCTCCAGGCACCCACTCCATCACCAACAGTAGCAGAAAATCCAGCAATCAGGAGCTCTCTTGTAGCCAGGGGCACTGACGTGACTCTTGTTCTCAGTGGATCCATGGCTTTCAGCAGTAGCCAGCTTTGTCCATGACAAGGGAGTGCTCCTACAGCTCACTGAGCAGTTAGTATTTTATCTGTGTTTGTTTGTGTTGGTCTTGTGTTGGTTTCTTTTGCCTCCATGAGTTCGGTGGCATCGGTAGGTCGGTGGAGGCCTGAGTGATGATGATGATGATGATGGCTGCTTTGCATCGAAGCTCAGGAGCTCACAGCTCTAATTCACAGTGTCTTCTCTTTCCTCAGGCTCTACTGCCTTAAAGTTTATGGGCTGTCGTCTCTTTGGCGCTTGTTCCGTGGGAAGAAGTGGAATGTCCTCAGGCAGCGGGTGGATTCCTGCACCTATGACCTGGACCAGGTAGTGCTGCCGTGCCGGGGCCGTGCCGCCAGGACACACTGCTTGCAGGTGGCCTTTTGTCCCCATTATGCTTTCTTTAACACTGAGACACGAAGCCAGGAAAGCTCTGCAGTGCCCAGAGAAAGTGCACACCTCCTCAAACAAATCCTTGGACCTTCTGCCCTACAGCACCCTGTCAGTGCTCTGCATGCTCAGGGGACCTACTCCTTGGAGGAGCTGAGAACCTCCTGGGCACCCTTGGGAGCTTCAGTGGGTGCTGCAGATGCTCACAACCTCTGAGAGCCCAGTGGTTATGGGGGAGGGAGGCAAGATAAGAAGTGATGCTCAGGAGTGTTACCAATAGTAACAGACTTCCTATAGTTTCTATTAAAAGCCACCATTTAATTCGTGATGCTTTGGAGCCTGGCCCACACATTTTCACTGCAACAACAAATGCCAGAGGTTTTTTTTCTGAAACAGTGTAAGCTGTTTTTCAGTTTTGAAATTCTACGGAGAAGTTAGGCAGAGCCTGGCTGTTCCATGCCTGCTCTGGCAAACACGACTGAAATGACTCCGAGTAAAAAATCATGATCATGTTTCAATCTTCCCTTGTTTTACACCTCTAGGTGACATTTGCTGGAAATTGCAGACCCTGTGATAAATACATGCAGAGGCTGGCTCATCTCTGCAGCCGCCCTTGCAATCTCACTTGCAGTGCTGCTTGGTGACTGCCAGGGCCAGTGCCTCTCCCTTGGTTGCAACATTACACTCTTAAGCCTCTAGCACCACAAGGGAAGAGCTATTTTTCTTCTTTTGTATTGATGGAAAAGTAAGAGCCTCTGTGGCAGGGCAACAATTTACATCAGCCTTCTGTCCCTGTGCACTTGGAGAATAATTAGGTTGGCACTTCAAGCTTCATCCTGCTGCTATGGAGGCCAAGGGGAGTTTTGTTATTGGCCTAGGTGGGAAGAGACATTCAAAGCAGACCTTAAAAGACTTTGTGAGATGCTAAGCAACAGCAGTGGAGTGATGGAGGAGGGGAGAAACACTGCTGGCAGTGGAGCCAGCGGCACCTGCTTTCCTATGGGTTTTTCTCTTTAATCCCCTCAATATTACTCCCCTTTTCCTCAGTAACTCCAGCTTCTTTCTGTCTCCCTCTAGCCCATTTCCCATGACATTCCCACTGACCAAGGGAGAAGGTCTGTGCCTGCTCCAGAGCTGCAGACACGCTGGCCGACCAGCCAGCTACTGCCCGTGGGAAAGTTTACTAACCAACCCCTGCCGTCGTTGCCTTAAAAGCACACACTGATTTGGGCCTCTTGCCTTTCCCCAGTTCCCAGTTCTGTTACAACACCAAGGGAAAATAAAAAACCTTTTCAGTTTTCTGTGGAACAACCTAACAGATTGTTACTTCTATTTACCCTTCCATTTTTTCCAAGGTAAAATCTGGCCAATGGTTTTGCAGCCCATGGGGGTAGGGGATGCATGATCACATAAGCATGATCCCATAAGCCTTTTTTTCCCAAGAAAGTTGGCATAAAATTGGAAATCCTGAATACTGGTAACAGGGAGCTTTCTAAGAAGACGTGTGAGAGAAGCAGCCCTGAAAATATTCCAGATACTCCAAATTATATTCCAAATTATTCACACAGGGAGTGAGAAGAGTGTCAAGAATCTTGCAAACTCTTTCAAACACTTACTATTCTTTTATTTCAATTTGTTTTTGTTTTTGGTTTTTTGCCATTGCTCTGCTAATGATCGTGTTTCTTTTTCCCCTAGTTATTTATCGGCACTCTTCTATTTACAATCCTGCTGTTTCTTCTGCCTACAACTGCCCTGTATTATTTGGTGTTTACCCTGGTAAGATGTAACCCTTAAAGCAAGTCATATATGGTGCTCAGAGATGTTAAAAAACGATTTCAAGGCATTTGCTGTCATCCGCAAAGAAAATACATTATATGTCTGAGTGCCACCAGAGGGGCTGTCACACAGCTCACATAGATGAAGTAAGTGGAGTTCAAAAGACATAGTTGTGTGTCTCCAAAGGGATTTTCCTGCAAATCAAAGTCAGCAGGACAAGCTGTTCCACCACTTAAAAGTCATGTTTAATCTTCCCCTCCCGCATCTGGCGTTACAGCCCCTGCCGTCCGATCCAGAACTTTTCCTTCTGAAAATTAACCTACTGTGTTAAATGTTCCCAGCCAGACTTTGCTAAGAGGGTTGAACTTTTTCTTTTCTACCTCCAATATGACCAGCTTGAATTGAGGCCTTGAGCAAAATTTTCCACTGGCAGTAGCCTCTGCATAATTTCAACATCTCTTTTGAACCATCTCTTTTCAGATGAGTTTGACAGCAAAAAATAAACACATCCCAATAAAAGAAAATGCTTTAATTAGGTAATGTGAAACACAAAGCCAGAAACTCTCTACTCACTTATTTGCTCTTGCTTAAATGCTACATATGTTGGTTTTTTTTCAATCAGAAATAAGGTGCTTCATTGTTGGAAAGAGAGAAATTTACATGTATCAGTACAGTGATGGAAAGAGAGAAATTTATATTTACCAGTACAGTGATAGAATTTACTAGAAATGGAAGCCATTTAGCCTGTGACCGATGACAGCAGAATAGCTGTCGTGCTTTTTGGGGTCATAGCATCTAAAAGAATAGGTACTGCACTATGGTTACAACCTTAGGCTAAGATTGTCAAAGACCTCATGCAGTGGCTGGATGCCCAGCACACTGAGACATCAAACCCACTTCGGGAAGTTTTACCTTAGCACACAGACATGTCAGTTTGCAGAACAATTTATGATGTTACAAATGTTGGTCCTCCTATTTCTCTGAGACTTGTCTATTAAACTGTTTCTCTGTAGCTCCGTTTGCTGGTGGTGGTTGTGCAAGGCTTGATACACTTGCTAGTTGACCTGATTGACTCTCTGCCTCTCTATTCAATCATCCTTCGGCTCTGCAGATCCTACAGACTTGCAGGTAAGTCCTTCAGTGCTGCTCAGGCAGAAAATCAGGGATTTTGCATTACACACTTCATGTTGATTACTTGAACTGATATAGCAGTAGCTTCTGAATAGAAAGATGCAAGAGGTCAGAGAACTGAGGTGCCAAGCCCAGGACTCCAGTCCTGCCATTGTCTGTGCTGCTAACAGGTCACCCTAAGGAGCAGGATAAGGATGTCTGTGGAAGAAAATTGATGCTGAAGGGCTCTGGCTTCCCTTCATAAAATCATTTACTTTTTCAGATCAACCCATCACCAATTTGAAACTACTCATTTTTATTCCACTTCTAATAAACTGATTAGTATCAGAGTAAAACCTGGTTTTGGAATGGGATTAACTGAAAACAGCTATGGTTAACCCAGTTAAAATCAAGCAGATCTAAATTGTCATCTCCCATCTATTTAAAGGGCATGCAGCAGGAAACTTTAAGAACATCACCAAACCAGGGCCAGTCATCACATGCAAAGGAAGCGCGAGACAACTGATAACAGCCTTGTCTTTTGGAGCAGTGCCAAAGTTGATGTTGGGAAGGCAGAGCTGAGCAACATTACCAAGTGTGTTGCTTCTCCATGTGTGCCTTCAGCAGGTTCCCATGATCTTCCTAGCAGAAACTGCGGAACCTATCAGGGCTGTCCTTGGAGACATGGTAAACATAAGGTCAAAGGGAAGAAGGAAATGTTGTTGCCACTGAGAGATACGAAGTCAGTTATTCCAGTCAGGGTTATTTCTTGGTTTTGTTCTGCTGGCCACCCTTTGCAGGATAGAAAGCTTCAGCCTAAGTAGAGTTCTCTGCTCTGTTGAGTTTGTTATCTGATTTACTTTCTTAGTTGATTATTTGTTTGCTTCCCTTGAACATTTAAAAAGAGAACACCGCAATACTATCCCTGCTAAATGAGAAGGCATCTTTGAAAATTTCTCTGGGCTGTGTTCCTGGCACAGAATAAAAAAGATTTTAGTGCACTGGTAACAGAAGGAGCAGATGAATCAAAAAATCAAAGTACTTTAGAGAGTGTACTTCACCTGATGTTACTAGTGCTTAGTTTTTGCTTCCATTTTCTGCTTCAGTACTTGGATAAGGCATCTTTTGGCTTGTGTTATGGCCATTGGCTTTACAAGCATCATCAGGATGATTCTACCAACGTGGATGGATAGCCTTTCCTGTAAGCAAGGTTTGAGTGCAGTGTTCAGTCCAGACCTGGCATTCTTTGGTTCAGCTTTCAATTGACAGAACAATTATTATTGATGAAACCTGGGCTGAGATAGGTGAGTAATGATACATCCAAATGCCAGAAATACCTGTTTTCGTTCCACATATCTGAACTGAAATACTTTGGACTTTAAAAAGCCTCTTGAAACTGTATTAAAGCTGATGTCCCCTGTGCAAGAATTCTCTCTGCCCAGCATTAGCTAAAGGGCTGCCACTGGGGTTGGGCAGGGTGCACTGTGATCTTGATTTCAGGTGGTAAGAGCTAGCAGTGAGGTTTGGGAGTCTGGGATTGTACTCACACCCAAGCTACTGATGTGCTGCATGATTTTGGTGAAGCCAGTTCATTTCTCTGTCCTTCTCTTCTTGCGCAATACCTATTTATCTTAGAAACCTTGGGACAAGGTTTGTCATCCTCAGTCCATGGTTCTGTAGCCCCTGTCACGTTGTTGCCTCCGTGGCTGGTGGAAAGCAAATCAGCAGTGAGCACTGTCATGTGAAACGAAACAAATGGGTTCAGGTACTGACTTTTTTGTGCCATTGATGTTAATTTTGTGTATAAAACACACAACCTTAAACTCTGGAGTTGGTCGGTAATTACAAAAAATTATTTAGGGTTCTTCTCTCCTGCAATGATCTGAAATAGAGGGAGCGTTCTTGCTTTTTCCATGAAGTGAATTGTTTGAAGGGGTCTAAAACTTATGGTAATCTCTTGGTCATTCCAAATATGAATTCACTTGCAAACGCTCTGTGCGTATATTTTCTTGGAAGTTTGAGACTCTTGAACAATTGAACTGAAGATACTGTTAGCTGCAGCTGTAGAAGGGGAGTATGCAGTCATGACCTGCAGACTACATTTCCATGGTAGTAGATCATGTACCATAAACTTCAGTACTCACTTGTTTGTGTCTACAAATTGCCTTCCTGAAGAGAAGTTCCTGCGTGACTCAGATGTTTCCTCTTAGCTAAAACTCGAAGAGTCACTCTGAGCAATTATTCCCTTCTAGCACATTTGTTTGTGGAGACCCTGAAGACTTGAACATCTTTTGGAAGCTGTTGGAGAAACCTGTGTTTCAGTATAACCCAGCAAAAGGCAGATCATTCCTTCCTGTCCTGGACAGAAAAGACCTTACGATTTGGGGAGAAGTAATTTAAGTTAGAGCTCTGTGCCTGACAAGAGAGTTCCCTCTCAGAAGTAAGAATAAATTTGTAGAATTAGAATTAATTCAAAATGTAAGGAAAAAAGAGATAAAAAAAGAATGTGTAAAAGACACATAAGATACTATATAATTGAGGCCCCACAGATGAACAGTTTGATTTCTGTTTCTACTTCTGAGTTATTGTTTGATCTGTGGCAGATCATTTCTCTTGCCTTATCTTTTCATCTATGGAAAGGAATAATGGAGCACTCTTGGTTGTTACAGATATATTGAGTATGGGTTGGATTCTTTTCTGTGAAGTGATTGGAGATCTCTTTTTTTCCCTTTTTTAAGGCTCTTTAATCCTAATTGTAATCTTTCTTTGAAACATTACATTAAACACTGGTGTGTGATATGTCAGCCTTGGAATCCAGTATCTTTTCTTATCTAAAGAATTGGGAATGTAACAAGTCCAAGAGGGAATATAAAAGTGACAGGTTTGATAGGGTGAATAGTGTCTTAAAAACCTACAAATGCTAGGATTAATAGGCAGTGATTGCTTTGAAATATTTTTCAAGCCTCTGGTCCAGCCACTCTCCCCTCAGTGTGAAAGGAAGAGAGATTTGCAATATCTACATGAACATGAATTAAGAGAGTCCTCTGTCTCATATTATCATGGAGTTCCCATTCTGTCTGAGGTTTGGGAACTGATACAGATTATTGCCATCCCTCTGCCATGATCAGTCCTTTCTTTTTCATTTTTAGGCTTTGTGCTTTCTTTAGGACTGCATTTGCAACCTGGAAGTCGAGGGCTACTTTTAATGAAGCTGAGAAAAATGCATCTATTACCATTAAGGTCAGAATCATAGAGAGAATTTGTGCTACCTATTGAAACATTTTAGTAGTTCACAAATTCAAGAAGTTTAAAACACTCATCTCCAGGCAAGTGGTGCTCAGCCAGCAGAGCTGAATGGCAAATAATGGTGCTTTTCTCCAGCATACGTTTGAGTTCCTTGCTCTTTTTATTTTCAGCTGGTGTGAAGTTCAGAGTTCTTGAACAGATGCATGGAAAACCTCTTCGGCTCCTTATGCAGGTAAGCCACCAAACAAAGCATATAGCAAAAGGTTAATGTTACTTGTGCTTTTGTACCCTTGCGTCTCTATGCTCTGTGGCCAGATAATAGATGGAAATCTTTCTGAAAATAAATGATCTAATAGCAGCAGTGAAGTTACCCTTTCAAGAATGATTGTAAAACCTCCATTACCTGACTTTGCAGCACTTCTGCCATATCGCACAGTTGCTTTTCTTGCTCTTTGCATCCTGGGAGGCTGGTCTGTGAGTCAGTATATGGAGTAGTAAAAAGAATATTTGGGCACAGAAAAATGCCTGGATAGAGATTAAACACAGTTCCCCAGTTCTCTTGCTTTTTTAATCCTGCAGCCAGCTCCATTTCAGCAGAGGTTGGATTGCCATGGGCCTGGCAAATCAGCAGCAGTTTCAAAAGGAGTCCTAGCAGCAGATGCCTTGTGGAGCAAAACTGTAGCATGCTCTAAGCACACTAGCGTCCTACTTCCTGCACTTGGGTAGGGTTGAGATATGAAAAATGAAGTCTCTCATTCCCCATGCCCAGAAGACTCTATTAGAAGGAAGCTGTGGGCACCAGTGGTGAAGTACAGGCACAGCTAAGTAGAACAGGGAATTTGGCACTGGTGTGTGTGTGAGACAAGGTGGGTAGCTTCTCCAAGGGTCAAGCATCAGGATTTAGGTGGAGAACAGAGGCAGTGAATCATATTAGTATGATCAATATTCCTTGGACCAAGAAAGGTCCTTATGCTCCCTACAATATAACATGAGTCATCAGCTCAAGAGGTGGAAGTGTTTTAGTTGATGTCTCTTTTGGCCTTCTACTCAAATAATAATGAGCAGAGAATCAGTAAAAGCGCCTTTTTTTTGCTAGTGAAACTGAAGCACAAGCTTGTGTCAGAACTCCTGCGGAGTATACTACATTCCATAGGAGAATCTAAAAAGCCTCCTGTTTAGTGACCTGCTAGAATTTGTATGGTACATGGTAAGAGGTTTTTTTTAAAAAAATCACTGTGGCTTTCCTCTTGTCCCCTTCCCTTATGTTAGCCCTTTGGAGCCATGCCTGGGGGAAGCGAGGTTGAGTATTAGTGTAACTATGCCTACAACAAGCTATAGGTAACTGAAATGTTCACATCTGTCCTTCCAAGCACTGCAAACTGTTTAGAAATCAATTGTACTAATTTTGAGCCTCCATATTCATCTTGTGCGTCAGCCAAGGGATTATTTTTATTATTTAGATAGTGCCTTGCAAAGCAAAGTCCAGGCACAGGCAGAGGGAGGATGGGATTTCCATCCAAACACTGCTTAAATTTTTCCAGGAAGTCTTACACAGTTAGTATTTTCATAAGGGTTTAAAATCATTTATTTTGGTACACAAGAAGAAATATTTCTGGCAGTGCAGGTCAGCTGACTGGCAGCCCAGCAAGAGGACATGTTGTATTTGATTCCTTTTCATACCTTCTTCTAGAAATGTCATCTTTCAAAGCAACTGCTTTGAAAAGGGTTAAGCAACAGAGGAAAGGAAAAGGGAACAGCTCCATTATGAAACAAAGGACGTGCCTACTATATCAGGGTATATTATAGCTTTGAACTACAGAAATTGCATAAAAGGAACTCAGATTGCCACTTCCGCAATAGAACGGTTGTTTTGGGTTTGCTTCTTTCTTCCTTTTATTATAGAAGAGGTAGAAAAGCATATTTTGCTATATTTAAAATCATCTTTTGTTATTTCTAAGGATGCAAATCATACCCCTCAGCACCATCAGTCTGCATGTGATGGAGTTTCAACAAGAAATACTGGGTCCAAGCATCATCCAGCTCATCCAACCCACACGGCAAAAAGTCAAAGGAATATTCACTGTGTATCACCATTGTATAGCAGCAGTTCCTCTCCCCTCTGAATAAACTTGTTTTCACCACAGACATACTGGTCTTCACAGAGCCAAGGAAATAAGCAGATACTGTTACTCAAGTTTTACTGCTGGGGTTTTTGAAGCAACTGCTGGAGTAGTTGGCAAATTGTTTATGACCATGATGGGATGAGATTGGTTATGTTCAGAAATAATGTCCAGTAAATGCTGGGGTTAATTCTTGACCTTTAGATTATAGAGTTCATTTGAAACAGGAGCTGCATTCATCTGGATTAGACGTACCGCAGGTGGGGTGAGCTCAGCTCTAAGTTTTCTGGTGCAAGTATTCGTTTTGATTATGTTCCAAACTAACTTCTTTGTGAATCTGTCTGGGACTCGCTTAATATCTGCCAGTGAGACATTGTCCCAAAGCAAGGTCCTGATGGATATGGTTGTTTTTTGGCTTCCCTCAGCCTATATGAACAGCTGCCCTGCTTTTCCTTAATTTCCTAGGGTGCTGCTGGACATAAGCACTTTCTTGTTCTGTTTAACAATGTTGTGCCATGAAACTAATTCGGCAAAGGTCTCCAGGACCATTTTTAATGCCCTTTTTGTTTAATCACCCTTTCCCAAAGCTCGGTCTTTTTAGATACTCTGCAGTCATCCTTCCCCTCTTCAGGAACACCATCCAGCTGAAGCAAACTGCTAGTATAAGCAAATTTCCAGAAAAGAGCCTCTCTTCAGGGCACAAAATATTCAGCTTTTGACCAAGTAATGCTTTTTGCTGTCTTTCTTTTTTTTTATTTGGATTTTCTGCTGTGAGTTATGGAGTCTTTCTTCTTCATGCAGCTGCTTGGTTGGTTCCAACACAGTTGCACCCTTTTGTTAGAAGAGTATGAGCTTCCATGTCTTTCCACTGTCCAGGCTTTCTCTAGATCTACTGAGTTGCCTCACCTTGACATCCCTCAAGCTATTTTCTGAGATTCAGCAATTCTTTGTAATCTCTATACTCTTTTGGGGACAGTTTGTTTCTGCGGATCCTTTTCATGCACCCGAATTTGGCCTGGCTGTATCCTCTGGACGTCAGCCATCTCTCTGCACTGAAGTGATCCACTAGAATGAGAACTTCCAAGTTCTCATGTGCTTCTGTGACTGCCGGTCCAGCTAATATATCTTCTGATTTCCCCATCTGCCAAAAGGAGAGTACAACATGTTTGTGACCATAACTAGAGGCCAGGAGCTGTGCGTAAGAGCTCCAGACATGATCGTTCATGGGATGGTGACTGAAATCAAATTGAAAAATATGAACCCATTTTATTACCTCTACTTGAAAGTGAGTCTAATAACTCATTAGGCAAGGATGTGTTTCAGGATACTATAGAATGCTATCAGCTCTAAATAGCTAAATAGGGATGTTCTAAGAGAGGCTGATACTATGCAAAAGTTGTGCTTGCCCTCCTCATCTGTCTGTGCTTCTCACTACCACACATTTTCACTGCTGATCTCCCTCTTCCTTCTCATAGATCAACCCTCTCTCATATGGCAGTGTGGTGCGGACGTACAGTCTGCCAACCTACAGCTGTTACCCCAAGGATTCCTGGACATCCCTCTGCAAGAAGCTGTTCCTTGGAGAGCTGATCTACCCTTGGAAACACAAAGGAGAGAAGCAAGACTGAAAAAAGCCAAGGGACCCAACTTGAAAGACTTGGCCAGGATATTGAATCCTAATGCTTGGAGCCAGCAGCTGCTGGATCCCCCTCGTGAGATTTTGCTAACATGTGGGCCAGCCTGAATTTTTAAAGGCAAGTTTAATCTGATTTGATTTCCAGACTGTTTCTTGTTTGTGCAGTGATATTCAACTCTAGACTGCAAACTGTCTGCCTGGTGGCAGCAGCGAGTAATGATCATTTTTAAAGCAAAAGGTTTGGCCCATCAGTGCCTCTTGGAACCAGCATTTAATGTAATCAAGGACATAACTTCTGTATGCCTTGGTAATTTTTATCTTTCCATGTAAATTCACAGGACCACATTAAAACAGTCCTTCAGGCTGTTCAAAACCACCATGTTGATGTGCATTATGCCTTCGGTTATTTTGGATCTTTCATGCTTCAGTATTCAAGCCAGCTAATCAGAACCAGTAAGGAGGAATATTGGCTTTTAGCATCACACCCTGAAAACAGTACAGCTGGATCGTCTGGGTTCCTAAGATATTTATTCTTTAGCCCTTGGTTGGGCTTGGATTCACTGAGCATAGAAACAAGGACTGAGTTGTCCTTGAGACACAGAGACACAGAATGCTGCACATCTGAGCTTGCAGAAAACATAGAGGGTCTCATCTAGGTTTTCAAAATCAAACAGTGATTTGGAGAAGCTGAGCCCTCCGCTAACGCCAGAACTGGCAATGCAGAGTGCACAGCCTCAAACCCCAGGCTGCTCAAAGGCACTGACAGCTCAGCGCCCCGCCAAGGCGCAGGGCTTCTTTGCTTAGTCGTGATCTAAGGCAGCCATAGCTGGTGGGTACAGGAGAGCAGCAGCAGTCTTGCTTGCCAGGTGGACTGAGCAGCTCGGGGAGGTGTGTGCCACACTCCCTTCCAGGGGCAGCACATCCCCCTGTTTCTGTCCAGATCTGAGCCTTGCAATGTGGTGTCTATCTTTTGCACCATCTGAAAGTCAAGAAGTTTTTAAAGTCATCTCAGATTAAGCCTTTAAAGCTGCTTTCTATCCTGAAACTGCAGGTACATTTCTCTTAGGGGAATTTTGTTTCTTCAGATACTACCTCCACAGTACAGCAGCGCTCGGCTTTTCTACGTCCCATTCTAATGGCCCATTCATCTTGAGGTCTCTTCATCCCCCAGGTGTGCTGTCTACTCCTGGTCTTGCTGCCACGCACTTCTGTAATGTTCCACTGTGTTTGTTGTTGTTGTGGAGACATTTGCATCCAGTCATAACCTGGAAGTATACGTTCTCCAGGTCCACTTGCCTTAGCCTAAACAGGGTTGTATCACCATCGTGTTACTGCTTTGCACCCCTGAAGTGACTGCATTAATTGGCAGGTGAAAATTAGTTAATTGGTGTGCCGAGTCCTGCCCCTTCTGCTCCAGGGTGTCAGTGTCTCCTCAAGGAAAGCAAGGATGGAGGATAAGCAGGGATGTGGGTAATGTCTGCATTGCTCAACTCTTCGCCCGAGGGCTGCCCGTGAGTTCCCATGTGACTTGGTCAAGGACAAAGCAAGGAGCAGAGGCCCTCAGCAAGAAGGTGCCTGGACTTTGGGGGCTTTAGCAGCCGTCAGTCAGCACCTGCACTGGCAGGACAACCAAAGGAGCCTTCTACACAGCCCCGTGTCTCATCCATGTGCTGGATGAGGAAGCAACATGCTGTCCTGCTACATGGAGTGGATGGATGGAAGGAGTTGTGATCCCAGGAATGTCGGGTGCCTTATACACCCCTGATCAGGTATATTGTGTTTGTAGCTACCAACAGGCTCTCACAGTGCATCTGCCACCTTTTCAGCTGTGACCTGGTGAGAGCAAAATGAAGCTCTGTACACAGGTTTTTGGTGCAGACATTTATTAGCAGATAAATGCAGGAATTGCCAAGTTTTTGCAGTTTTCCTAAGGCTGTCACGAGGGGAGGTAGTGTTACACAGCCACTGCTACCAAAAAAAACCTTACTATTTCTTTGATCCAGAGGAAAATGGGGTATCATTGAAAGAAACTAATGTGGTAGCAGCCCCACCACCACTGCAGGTTTTGAGTCCCATCACCTGCTGGAGAAGATCTGGAAGGATCTATGTTGTTTAACAGCCACTGCTTAAAAAATATATACAAATACATTGTCATCTTGTTTTGAAATACCAATATGCAATTATTTGTCCTCAGTCCAGGTGTGAATAAGTTTGGGTTGTGATCCCTTTAAGGGGTGAGCAGGCCCAATGATGTTTCTTCTTCAGCTTAAGTCAGACTCATGGTCATCCATGAGGTCATCCTTACCTTACTTTACCTTTCCTTACCTCCATTAGAGCAGATTTACGCTCCAGCTCCCTCTCATTTTTGCACTGTAGTAGCTAAATCATATTCCTCCTGTCTCCTCCCACGCCTCTGCATAGTTTAGTTTCCTCACTGATGAGTGACACTGTTTTGGAGGTTCGAGGAGAGTCTGATGAAAATAATGTTCCTACTGGCTTTTAAAAATTTACAAGACAAAACAGCTTATGACAGTCACAGTCATGGCTGACCTTTAGGATCAAGTGACCTGAAAGCCCCAGAGAAGGCACACACAGCCAGTAAAACCGGCAAGTGTAACCTTCCTATGGGGAATCCGCCAAACCTATTACACATTCCTGGGTTAAATCAGTTTAATAAAGACTGGTACCAACTCAGGGAACGGTAAAATATCAAGCTGACGAAAAGCTCCTCCATCAACCCTAGGTCCTGAACCTTGTGAGATAGAGTACTTAGAGTAAGCTAGAAAACAAAAGCTTCTTGTGGGTGTGATTCTCCTGCTCCTGTGTCACGCAGAACTGGTGCCTGGGCTGTCTTCTCTTTGTTGCTCACACTCTCAGTACTTGTTGCCCATGACAGTATTTGAGCCTATGAGTTTCTTCTGCTGTGTATTTGCCGTGTCTCTCCTCCTCTTTTACAGTCACTGATGTAAAGTAGTCTTCCCTCACCCTTTTCTGGTGCCACACAGAGACTTTGCAAGTTGGCAGTCATGTTGCTCAGGAACATTTGACTCTTCGTCATCTCTCTAATTAGAAGGTAGGACCAGCACCATCTTCCACAGCAAAACAGACTGGGGCCTAGCGTTGCCGTTTCCTCTGGGAAGAGATTGCCAGTGTGGTTATTACACTAGTCATCCTCAGGTCCGTATTAGCTAGCTCTCTAGTCCTCGGATGAGAAGCCGTTGAAGCTTCCAGGCATTCTCTGACTCCTACCACACACCCTGTTATAGCTGGCAACACACAGTCTTTGTTGACCATCCTTCAAATATTAGAACCTTGCAAACTCTTTTTTTTAAATACTGCACTTCCTTATTATTGCTTTCTTGGCTTGTAGTTGTCAGTTGTCAGGGACAATATTCGATACGTGTCTTTACACAGGCATGAGTTTTGTGAAGGAAAAAAACAGTTCACAGAATGTAGAAGTCCATTCTAGACAGACATTTTGCCTTTGAGAAATACTTTCCTAACCAGACTAACATGGATGGTGTTGAAAGGAAGTCTCAGTAATTACACTGCTCTAAAGGCTCTGTTTATATTTTGGGGAGTTTTCCCTGATCCTGCAGTTGTCCTGTTCCTTGTTCTGGTGGCACATGTGAATGAGAATTGCACATATGTGTGATCAATATGTGGACCTAAGCTCTGCTGCACACACTCGAGTGCTCTCAGCAGTGGTGGTACAGATGGAAACCAACAGGCAGCACCTCAGTGCAGATACTTCCCCCCTCCACGTGTGGACCTCTGTGTGAAGCCAACAGGAGTGGAGGGCATGACAACTCCTACATGACCATCTTACCACAGTGATGCTGAGAGGAGCATGCAGTGCACCAAAGACAGTTCCCCAAGTCTTTAGAGGTATTACACAAGTCACCATCCTCTCGGGGGGGCGGGAATCAGTCCTGCCTGCTTTCCTGATCCATCTTAGCAGGACGTGTTGTTTCCTGAGGCTCTGTAAGATACTGTAGTGCCTACCAGCTCCAGCTGTAGATTAAGAAGATGCTCAGAGCTGCCTCCTGCCCTTGTCCTATTAAAGCTGGTGAGCTCTATCAGTGGCATCTATAAAGCTGCAGCTGTCTCAGTGGAGCTATACAGTTCCATCCTTGAAATAGGCACCCACCAGAGACAACATCAGTCTTATGGCTCTGTTGAAAAGCAACCACCAAGGGCACCTTTCATTGTTGTAGCCACACCAGAACTGATGTCTCCAGTGTAAGACAGACCATGGGATCTAAGGGTCAAGGCAGTCCATCTGTCTGTCCAAGTAGTGTCAGTAGATTTCTTCTAACCTTAAAGCAGGTAGGAAAATCTGCTTTTGTCATCACACAGGTAATGAGTTGCTTTCCCTATGTCATGTGCTGCCTCACTGTACTGGTGCAACACTGCCTTCATTCTTGGCTGTCTTCTACTCAAGCCCTTACTGATTTAGTTGCTGTGGTTCAATCTGCTGATGACACCATCATGTTATGTTGAGCTAAGATACATCATAATTCACATCCCGTCAGTAAATATGAAGGCTCCCATGGTCCTTTTGTTCCTGTGCAGCAGTATTTAGGGGCTTCCTTTTCTTTTGGATGTTATCTGAGCCCTCCGCGCTTCAGAAAGTCAGCTGCTCATTAGAGGCACTTACCCGGATGGCTCTTGGCCAGGTTTTATGGATCTGGTAGCTGGGAGAGCGTCTGCCCCCCAGCCAAGCTCTCAATGCCTGCAGGAAACCCAGAAGTGGAAACACGGAGGGACGTGGGGCAGAAACCTCCAGGGTGGCTGCACGGAAGTTCATCTGGGTCTGGGAGCTGCCTTTCCGTGGTGCTCTGGAGCTCCGCACGCACGACGTGTGGCTGCACGTGGTGCATGCAGAGTGCGTGTCTGGACCTCAGCTGGTGCAGCCTCCTGACACGAGGCCTCAGGGCTTGCAACCTGCTCAGCAGCCAGATTTTAGGGCGGATTCTACCTTGCAGGATAAACATCAACAACCCAAGAATGCCCAGGCTCCCCCTTTTTTTTTGTCCCAGCCAGCTGCGTATCAGGAGGATACATGTAATTATAAGTGTGGAAAGCAGCAGAACGTAAACCCTTCGTTTCTAAGCAGAACGGCAGCGTGGCTTGGAAAGCAAGTGGAAGTCCTGTCCTGGATTTCTCCTGGGACTCAGCAGAGCCGTGGCCCAGTTTGCGTTCAGTAAGGGTGGAAAGGGGCTGTAGGTGCATCTTGCAACCACAGTGTTATTTAAGAAGCATCTGTCACTGGGAAAATGCATGAGCGCTTCACAACAGCTGTTCCAACCAAAGCTCCTACTTATAACCTCTTCAGTTTTTAAATAAAGTACTAAGTTTTTAAATAAAGTACTAAAAAGGAGTGCAGGCTCTTTTTTTTCAGTTAATTAGAAGCATGTGTGTGTGTGGATATGTTTGTGAGCATAAGAGATGGGGGAAGTTGGTGTGCAGGGCTAGTTGCAAAGCACTGGTACATTTTCTCAGTGATTCCCCCAAAACTACCAGGTGCTAAGCAGGAGCAAAGCACAGCAGCAGAAGGTGCAGCAGCAGTGTTTGCTTTAAAATGATGCTGCTGTTACACCATTTGAAGCCGTAAACTTCCTTCCCACCACGGCCCTGATTTAAAATGCAGCAGTCTGGCTTAGCAGTGCAGTGAGCAAACCCTTGGTGAACAGATTTGTCTCCCTCTCGTCACAGTGCAGTTTATCCAGACAGAAATGCGTGGCAGAGCCACGGAGGTGCTGGCAGGTCTGTGCTGAAGGGTCCATGCATGCTCAGCACCAGGCAGGTTCTGGATGTACTGGTCACACACTCTTGTATTTGACTGTTTAGGGGTGGGGAATCCTTGTTCTTCCAACAGGTGTGGACTTTTTGGTTAATTAAACGTTCAAATCAGAATTTAAATGGATGTTGATTACACTGGAATAAAGATGTTTGGATAAAAATCAAGGTCTTCCTTCTTGTTTAACTTGCCTGATGGCCACCTGTGTGGCTGACTGCAGTAGCATCTCCCTCCAGCAAGGGAGACTGTGGAGTGAAGGAGTCTGCTGGAGGCTCTGCTTGGTGGCGGAGCATTGGCTGTTCCCACCCTGAAGCCCAGCCAGGCTTGTCCTTGATCTCTTGCTCTCCATGTCCACCAAGTATTTCCCTGTCCACCTGACTGAAAGTATTCTACAAAGGCCAAATCATGATACCCTTGTGAGGAGGAGCTTGGGCCAACCCAGGGGGAGGAGCTAGGCCCACCATGTTGAGGAGGTGGTTGAGGTAGTGCCTTTCCAGGCCTGTATCACAGAATCACGGAATCAGAGAATGGTTGAGGTTGGAAGGGACCTCTGGAGATCATCCAGTCCAACCCCCTGCTCCAGCAGGGACACCCAGAGCAGGAGCACAGGGCGGCATCCAGGCGGGTTGGAAGATCTCCAGAGAAGGAGCCTCCACAGCCTCTCTGGGCAGCCTGTGCCAGGGCTCTGGCACCCTCACAGGAAAGAAGTTCTTCCTCACATGGAGATGGAACTGCCTGGGTTTCAATTTGTACCCATTCCCACTGTCCTGTCACTGGCCCCTACCGAGAAGAGTTTGACCCCATCCTCTTTACATCCTCCTCTCAGGGATTTGTACATGTTAATAAGATCCCGTCTCACTCTTCTCCCATGCTTCAGCGAGCGGCTCCTTTGCTTTCCGTGCGCATGTGTGGAACATGCTGCTGCTCAATAGTAGGGACTCAAGGGGCACAAGCCCCCACGAGAGGAGGTGCCGGGGCACTGCTGTTCCTCAGACAAGCGGCCGTGCTGCGTGTCGCGGCGCGGTTATCGGCAGGGCCCTGCACCAAGATGTTACTTTGTCTCCAGAGGACTGGCCTCCTGGAGAGCTCTGCTCCTTGGCCCTTGGAGGAGCCGGCCGCAGCGGTGCTGCTCAGGGCTACACGTGCTCACCAGGGCTCACATGTGGCCGCGGTCGGGCTGCCGTGTGCTGTGCTGCAGGATCCCAGCTGCAGCTCGCGCGGTTTCAGGCCTGCTCAGCGTCAAGTGTAGCCAGCTGGATGAAGCAGGGTGACAACAGGCCCACGCTGCAGAGAAAGTCTCTGCTGGGATCTCCCCCATCCGTTTACGTAACTTGGAGGCTGGTGCCTCGTGCCGCACGCTGCTGCAAGCATCTTCAATGGCCCCGCTGCCCTGCGCTGCTCTCCGTGCGCTGCTTCTCCCTTCGTGCTGGTATCATCGGTTTGGGACCTGAGAAATGAGAGAAATGAGGGAAATGAGAGAGCATCATGGCTCTGGGGCCGGGGCTGGCTCTGTAGGAGTGAGAGGATTAAGAAAGAAAGAAAGAATGGCAAGGAAAAGAGGGACAAAATCGAGGTGATTCCTGCCCATCATCCTCTTTGCTCTGCAGATCCTGCAGCTTTGGATCGGGTGGGCTGATGGGGACTAGGTACGACTTTCTCCGCTGGAATCCTGCCTGTCATGCCTGCACACAGAGCCATCCACTCTCCCTGCTTTCACTTTTGTGTCCTCCTTGCCCCCTTTATCCTTCCACAGGTTTTATCTGCAGCCTTTAGCCTATAATCCCACCGCTCCCCGGAGAGGGTTATTGGCAGCAGCTGGGGGTGGAAAGCAGAGCAGCAGATCCAAGTCAGACGGACATCTGCTACTTGTTTTTTCTTTTGGAAATGCTGGACAACCTAGGCTGTTTTGGAGCCAAGGGGGTAGGGGAAGGTGGTGGTTACATTTAGCCACTGTCCCCATGGCAAACCCAAGCTGAGAAGCCCTGTGGTCCCCAGGGCGCAGCACCTTCTATGGCACAGCAGCAGCTTTGTGCTATTTTATGGAGCGCGTTAGAGCCATTGCTCAAAGCCGACCACTTGGTGCTTCTTCCAAGGCCCAAACTTGGTTTTCAGTGATACCAGGAAGGTTGTTTTAACAAATAGGATGGTGAGAGCTGTCTCTGCCCCTGTATGCACCTGCGTGAGCTCAAAATCCATTTGTGCCACTCGTTCCAGCCTGGCACAAGGGGACAAGGGAGTCCTTGGCAGGGCTAAGGCACTTTGGTGCCCAGGTTTCCTGTCTCAGTCAGCTGGTGGCAGATGCCATTGTCACTGGCCAGTCTCCAGCACTGCCTGTTAATGGTCCTTCAGCCTCGTAGGGTGAAAAGGCCCCGTGCAATGCCAGGCCAGTGGGGCTGAGCTATCTTATCATCGTGTGCAAATACCTGAGGGGAGGATGTAAAGAGGATGGGGCCAAACTCTTCTCAGTGGTGGCTGGTGACAGGACAAGGGGTAATGGGTACAAGCTGAAACCCAGGCCGTTCCATCTCCATGTGAGGAAGAACTTCTTTCCTGTGAGGGTGCCAGAGCCCTGGCACAGGCTGCCCAGAGAGGCTGTGGAGGCTCCTTCTCTGGAGATCTTCCAACCCGCCTGGATGCCACCCTGTGCCCCTGCTCTGGGTGTCCCTGCTGGAGCAGGGGGTGGGACTGGGTGATCTCCAGAGGTCCCTGCCAACCTCAGCCATTCTGTGACTCTGTGACTCTGTGGAAGGCGTCCTGTGCATGGAGCTGTGCGGCTGCTGGGAGGTTCACCCTGCCACGCTGGCAGAAAGGCTGTGACACTCAGCATCAGCAAGGTGCGAGGGTCCCTTTTTTTTTGCCTTTTTGTGTCCCTGTTCTGCCCAGCGCAGCGCACTCCCTGGGGGAGGAAAGGGAACCAGCGATGCAGTAACCGACAGGTTTGAGCAGCAATTAATATTTCATGCAAGCAAAACACATTGCTGCTGCAGCAACTTCAGGCGCTCGGGCAAGGGAGCAGAGCAAGCAACGGAGGAAGGGAGGCTGGTAGAAAGCAGCGCAGAGGAGCTGACTCACAGAGCCAACTGTCACAGGTTCCCATGCCACTGGGCACGGCAAGAATCACAGCGGCAGGAGGGCTCTCTGCTGTGGGACCTGCCGGCAGTCACTCGTGGTTTAAAGCCTTCGGTCCTGCACTGAAGCGTCATGGCCCATCTTCAGTTAGTTACACAAACTCAGGATCTCACAGGATTACGTGTTGAGCCTGGGAGAAAGGAAGGAGACAAAGAGTCTGGTGCTTCCTAGAGGTGGCCTGGCCCTGCGAGCCTCCATCCCCTCAGCCCCTTTCCGTGTGGAGAGGTGAGGGTAGGTAACCGGGGCCAGAGTGTGTGTCCCGTGAGGCCTATGGGCCTCGGATGGAAGAACGCGGATGCAAGGCAGTGCCCTTCGCTCCCTCTCATCCCCTAGGGAAGGTGGATTCACGTGCCGGATCTGGCCCACCCAAGTTCCCGAGGCCTCTTGCCTGCCGAGCGAGGCCTCTTCCTTCCCAACCCCTTCTGGCTTTGACACGGGCTAAGGCAAGCGCGGCCATAGCCACCAACACCAAGGCAGAGCTTCCTGCAGTGGGGAATGTGTCCTCCCTTGCTCCAGTGGTAGAAAATGCTGCTCGGCTGTCTCGGAGCTGCGTGTCCGCAGCCCCCTCCAGCGCCAGCCGCCAGGGCCGCGGGGGACATCCCTGGGCAAACCAGCCATCCGGCTCTGCTCTGAGAGGTGCAAGGTGGGCACCCCATGTCCTTCCTGGTCTGTGGGAGCCAGGACTGCGCTCCAGCCCCAGCAGCTGCTCTGCAGCCCCTCGGGAAGGAGCTCTCATGGGAAACACGTGTGAGCCCGTCTTTACGGACATAGTAATTCCAGGTTAGTCCTAAGGGCTTTCCTATCCCGGGAGCTGCAGTAACACTAGCCCAGAGGTGCTTCCAGCAGCAAGGAGGATCTTCCCATGGGGCACCCTTGGCCATGTTTATCCATGACCGGGATGCTTGCCCTGCTCTCCTTGCCTGCATGGAGAATGGTGCGGGTCCACAAGGAGAGTAAGATAGGAATTCAGCTAGAAATGATCATGAAGGTAAAAGATGTGGGAGAAAAAGGGGAACAAGGAGCCAGAGCCCACCTATAGGCACAGACGTGTGTATACATATGTCAAGAAGAGACTGCTCCAAGCATCTCCAGGTGCCCACCGCTCCTGGAAAACCATAAGGTTGGCCCAAACACCAGTGGTTTCATGCAGCGGTTTTCCCAGCACTCAAAATCACCAGAAACTCCCCAGAGCAGGAGGGGGCTGTGTGGGTGGTGGGCAGGAGAGGAGGCAGCCAGCGGCCTCCCTGGAATACAGATGATTCCTCCTGGTTCAACCCACTCACTCCTCTAGGAACAGGGAAACAGGGGGCTGTTTACGAATGACGCTAATTGTTCCATGCAGCGCGGCTGGGAAGCTAATAAGCAGGCGGGTTGGCTCTGCAAGGATTAGCCAGGACGCCGTGTTCGGCACGGGCCTTGCGGAGGAGGCTGCGAGGGAGAGGCTGCGGGCGCAGGCTCCCGTTCCCGCAGGCGGCTCGGGGCAGGCGTGGGCGCGACGCTCCCCGCGAGGCCGCCATGCAGGAGCCGCATCCCCCCGCGCGG